AAGAAGTTTCAAGACACGAAAAGCATAATTTTACCTTCGATAACAAAATTGTTCATATCGTAGAGAAATTATGATGTTCAAAAGTTAATTCAAAAGGTAATATTTGCCATTAATCGATCGCCATTAGGTAACAACGAGGTGTCGATAATTTCTTGTAAAAAGTGGGACAAATGGGACGAACAAACCTTCGTATTGCTTTTTTATGCGGTTAAAAATTGTCGAATTATCGAGTTTTTGTCAACAAAAATTAGAAAATGTCAATTTGTATAATCCATTTAGTATCAGATGATGGGAAAACGAGAAAAAAATCCTTCGAGATTTATATCTCCGAATATTGATGAAAGTATAATATATACGTTTGATATTTTCATTCCATATCGTTGGATATATTTTTTATCTATTTATATAATATGATATCGTTAGGATTTCAAATTATTTTTTTATTTATAGAATGAGAAGAAGACAATTCTAGAATTTCAATGTATATAATGCATATTTTCGTTTTGAATACATTGGAATATAAAGATTGTTTCTGTTGATGGTATCACGAGATATGTTGAAGTCAGGTTCTGCTCAGTTATCGTCTCTTTAGTTCTTGACACGAATCTTCGAGTATCTAAGTATGAGCTTTTTCACGATAGTGCGAATACTTGTTGCTCAACAGTTTATAATCCATTTTAATGAGATGGATTTTGATCTTCTGTAAATGGAAAATTTCGATTTATTCGATTTATTTTGCTTGATCGTTTATGATCTTGATTTAAGTAAAATACACGTGAAATAAATGCAATGAAAGATTTCATAAATCTTTGTATATCATATACTTTTCATCTTTTATATGAAAGCTTTGAAATTCAATCAGTTTGGTATTATTCAAATCTTATCCATTTGGTTATGATGTGAAAATATATTCATGTCAACTCTTTGAATATTTTAGAAATATTGGTTATCGTAACATTAGATATTTTGACAATTAGATATGCTTTTTTACAGAACTTCGTGAATTTAAAAATTATTTTCGATTCTTTTCTTTTATTATTTATTATATTAATTTTTTATGATGAAATTTTTTATGACTGAAATCATCATTAAAAATTTCATCTTTTATCTAAAGTTAAATAATAATTATAACAATAAAAATTAATTTATCACGTTTCCTTTGCTCGTTATTATTATTAATTATCGTTTGTGATTGAAAAATTTTCTAAGAAAATGTAACTATATTATAATTTATCGCGAGAAGTAATATGATACTTGTTATGTCGGTTATAGGATCTGTCTGGATAATATACCTCACTGATCGCCTTAACAATTTATTATTTATCGCTTCTCTAGAGACGCGTTCCAGAGCACTATGAATTATTAGCTATTGATATACATATATTGTATACGTTTATACTGTGTCTTCATCTCGGATAAATACACAGAATCTCACAGGCTAAAACAGACTATCTAAATACATGAGGAATAAAATAATAAATAAATTACATTTTTTCTCTTATAAAGGAGAAAAATAAATGAAAAGGTTCTTTTTATTAACATAAATTGACTAATTAACTTTTTTAAATAAAAATTTTTTCTAAAAATATAAATTTTCAATATAAATACTTAAAATATAAATATTTTTTAAAACATAAAATAGGAACCAATTTATAAATTTTATAAAATTTATGATCATATTCTGATAAATTATCGATGTTGAAATGTTTTTCGTTCATAAATATTAGTATATATGCTGATTTCGTACATTAGTTTTTCACAATCATTCTAGAGTAAGACTTATCTAGACATTCTAGAATAAGACTTATATAAAATTAAAAAAGTAACAATCTGTTCTTCATTGAATTTCATTTTTGATGAGTTAGAAAAAAAATTCAGAGAAACTTGCATCTGATTTGATATAATTATAATTTATAGGATAGGAAATGAAACAAAAACAAATATAATAAAAATAGTTTGCTTAAAATTCAACGATTTACGCAAAGCAATAATTAGTAATAATCAGTAATAATAAAAAGATTTCATTATTTTTTAATACCCTTTTTACGTATATTACTTTTTTTACAATTATCTTGACACGAATGAGAGCATATATCTTCTTCAACTTAATACATGAAAATCAGTTTAATTTATATACTTATAATCTAGATTATAAGTTGGATATTCCTGACACTTTACAATTTTTATATTATAGTAGCGGAATGTAGTCTGGCATTATCATAAAATAGTATCGCTTTTCTCGATTTTCCGGGTCGTTTGTTTCTTATGGCTGTTCATAAACATTTTAATATTTCATAGTAAGTACACGTAAATTCAATTGGGTAATTAACATCTGTTTTTAAATTTTTTGCTCTATTTAGATGGTCATAAATATATACAAATTATTCTTATTCTTTGTAAATTATATTCTATCTATAATTTTTATGTATAAAAGTTAGATAACAGAATACTTTGGTGGATTTTTTGTTACTTTTGCTTAGGTATTCAATGTTAGTATCATGATAGTATACGATTCATTGATTGAAATAAGTTGGAACATGTAATCTTTTCGTAGTAACTTTGTACATGTACCTTTTAGAATAAAACTTTGTATATTTTTTAGCCGTAAAAATACAAACAATGTTTCATATTGCAACTTTTATTAAAAAATATATAATTTTTAATAGAAATTATAGGAATATAATAAATTATTGATAAGTAAAATCAAAATTATTTAAGAATAATAAATTATTGCAGATAAATAATTGTTTTAATAATTATAATACTTTTTATTCTATTCTAAATTTAAAAAATTATAATTAAAAAATAATTTAAAAAAAAAATACAATTTTAATCATATTATATGTATTTGTAATTAAATTAAATTATACTTGTATTAAATTTACATGTTCCAATGCGTATTAAAAGATTAATTTCAACTGCAAGAAAGAAAACTATCTATATATAATAATCATAAAATTAATAATTAATTAAAAAAACATGAAATTTGAATAAAAATATCTTTCGCAATTCGTATTCATAATTTATCGCGCGCGAAATACTTTTCTCACCACTGGAAGCTAAAAAAAACATTTACATAGCTTTCATACAAAAAAAAACCTTACCTCTGTTATTACACATGTGTAAACGGCAAACGACACGTTAAATTTAATCAAGTCAAAATCAGTGACCTAGATATTTCTCTCGCAAATGCACATATTTTGGACGAATCGATTACGTAACTCGATTACTTATCGTATTTGTAGAGATGGCGTGCTCGAGACAGATCGAATCGCAATAACGCGTGGGCGGCTCGATCGACGGGCAGAGATCGTTTGGTGCATTATGGTTTTCGCGAATTCGATGAATGCGCGCGTGGTTAACATACGGCAAATTAGCCAAACCGATATCGGCATGAATACACCTTAGTTGGCCGCGGTCAATGCTGATCCAGTCATTGCGTTTATGCTCGCATAATGGGAACGAGGGATGGGTCGTAGATGAAGTTCTATGGCTGTGATTATGATTATGTTTGTGGATCGTAGCTTTAACTTCTTCGGGTGATATGGCTGAACAGTGGAACATTCATGATCGTTCATTGATGCCATGAATGAGCTATTAGAGAAGTTGAAGGGATTCAAAAAGAGATATCTCCCCACCAATAAGATTTTGTTAATAGGGTCTGCGATGAAGCAGTGGTTCTCAATCTGTCGATTGTAAATTGATAAGAAAATTATGAAATATTTTTTTTTTTTAAGGGAATATATTTGATTACTTTTAGTTAAAATTAAATGTAATTGTTGCTTTAGAGTAATGGTTTTCAACTTATCAATTGTAAAAAGTGTTGCAAAAGAGTGTTTTTAAAGATATTTGTAGTTAATAAAAGTTAGAATAATAATTATTGTTTGAAGCAATAGTTATCAATCTATGGATTGTAAATCAGAGTTTTTCCACTTGATTTATTGTTTTAGTTAAAATAATCACATTTTTGTATTTTAGAAGAGTATCAATAATACTTTTATTAGTTAAATTGAAATTAGTCATTCTATAGAGAAACAATTATTTTAATTTTCCTTATCTAGAGGAAAGTTATTTGAATATTACAAAAAGAGGTCAGAATTTAAAAAAAAATCACGAAATATTTGTTTAGAGATATAACGAGATTATAAAATTTATTTAGAATAAAATGTAAAAATTCTGATTGTTAAATGCTGATAATTCTAAAAATGTTATCAAAGTATCAATTATATAATCAATTATTTATTACTATGTTATAGTATCTTTGAAGAACTTTTAACTTTACATAGTTTGTTACATAGTTTGTAATTGAGCATTAAATTGTAACACTTATTGCATATTCAAGTTCATTGTTTAAATGTAAAGAGATTTAAAAGGTTATAAATTTCAAATTTTTAGTTACTTTAAGGAAGATCTATAAAATTCAAAAATTTGTCGAGTTTAAAGTTGTTTGAATATGTTAGTGATATACGCACATTACATTCATGCATGAAAATAGTTCTCGAGAATGTAGGTGGCGCGATGGAGTTCCTAGAATATAAAATGAAGTACTTTCTAGAACTATATTCTTCACAAAGTATCATTATCAGAACATTTTTGCACGATAATTCACTAGTTAATAATTGAGTTAACAAGTTGTAAATTATAGGTGTATAGGCTCGAGAAAAAGTTAAATTGAGAATCTTTAGTTTGGTGAAAAAAAGCATTAAATATTCTTATCGATAGAAATATATTTCCCACTAGTCTTTTACAACAATCAACGTAACATTGTTTCAGTATTTATTATCGGTAATTTATTAAATTTAAATTTTTTTTAACTGCAATCCGCTGCAATAAGCTGCTTAAGCTTATTAATACATATTAAAATTTAAGAAGGATTGTTTTCTGCAATTGTCTGAAACAATGAAAAACGAATCCAAAAAAGGAATTTTCAGTAAAATATTCCTGTACTTTTTTTTTTTTTTTTGGTTTACATGTGTTTAACCCATTATTCTCTATTTTAGGGGACCATTCAGCGTTGTAAGGAAATGCATTCACAGGCAGACAGGACAGACGTTCGCGGTAAAAATCGTGGACGTGGCAAAGTTCACATCCAGCCCCGGTCTAAGCACGAACGGTGAGTTCTCGAGGGAATTGGGAATCTCGCGCATACGCCTCTCTGTTCCGCCATTAATTTCCGCCACGGCTGTTCGAAACAAAGATATTCTCTCTGCTCGATTTCATGTTTACGTATTCTCTTTTACGGCACCACCATACGGAGCCCATGAATCTGCACAATCCATTGTGCGACTCGAATGAAATTGCATTCGTCTCTCCTAAATGTGGATTTTAATGTGGAACACGTGCGGCCGATTTCAGAAATGAACCGTAAATCCTACTGCGATTGTTATTGCCAAGTTTCCGGTTTCTGAGAGAATAAGATTTCATTACTTGCGTGAGGATGTCGATGGTGTGTAATGCACGAATGTTATATATATATAATTAATTTCTTTTGCAAAATTTAAGCTTTTTGTGGGCAACAAATAGTTTTCGATTGTATTTTTATAAAAATTATATTTTTAGTTTCAAGTAATATGAAATATAGAAATTTAGGATTACTGGAATTAAGATTACTAAAATTTATTTATGTAAATTAGTTAATGAAAGCAAAAGTACAAAAAATAAATAGTTTCATGATTTAAATAATAAATATATAAAAGAAGATTAATCTATTTTTTATATTATTATATAAATATATTAAATCATGAAACAAATATTCATTTTTGTCAAAAAATTGTTTGATTTCCAGTCTTCGTATGATATGACTAAATTTGTTATCAAAACAAGTTTATGTTTCTATTAGATAATCTTTGACGTTCCATACATATCAATATTGAATAATATTATTGACAATATTATTGATCGTATAATTAGAATTCTTCACAATATTTAAAGTTTATTCTTTCGACATTAATATTATTAACCATGAAAGTTAAATATAAGATATTCAAAGTGGTGGGTTTCCCTTTATATAGCTATTTCGAAATATATTTTTTTATATTTTTAGAGAGAAATAAGATGGAGTGAAATATTTAGTTAAAGATTTAGTTAAATCTTTAGTTAAAGAGTCTGTTTTCATTTTTTAAAAGAAAAATTTAATATCTGTTTATAAAAAATATAATTGTCAGAGTTCTACGTAGGCGTAGCACTTCTTACAGTGTATATTTGTTACGTGTCTAATAATAAAAATTATCTTTTTTACATACGTTCATCTAAGAGGTACATAGATCTAATAATAGGTAAAAAGGAGATGCATCGCTTTAAAGGTTAATAATATTATAAAAATGCGTCATAGTTAGAACATGATTTCAAGAGACCGCTTGAACGTCATAGTTCTGATAAAAATCAATTTAATAAGATCCGGTTTCTAACGTGATTACTGTCCAATATTTTTCCAATATTTTTTTACCATCTTTATATTTCAATCATGAGAAGCCATAAAAGTATTCCGTGTAATAATTTTTTTAATTGTAAAATAATTTTTTATCGAATATCTCTTAATTTCATTAGTGTTTTATATTTATATAATTTTATATAGTTATATAATTTTCGTTAATTCTTTAGAAATCTTAAAATCTTAAAAGTAGTATTTCATTCAAGTAGTGTCATTAATTCGTTTAATTTTAATTTTATTAAATTATTATATTTTTTCTTTGAAATATTTAATTATTAATTACAAATACAAAATGTCATTAATTCAAATATTTTATCGTAATTTTTAAAAAAAAATCTAATTTGAAAAATATGATTGTTGCAGATTTGAAACGAGAGGCCACGATATGTCACATGTTAAAACATCCCCATATAGTAGAGTTATTAGAAACATACAGCTCGGAGGGTATGCTCTATATGGTGTTCGAATAGTAAGTATTATCACATTTTAATTTATTTTAATTTATTCCTTCTTCTTCTTTTGAAGAACAAAACTTTGTGTTCAATTCACAGAGTTCTGTTCGATTTTAATAATTCATCAATAAAAATGAGAATAGATTTCCATCAAATTGATCTTAAATTTTTAAAGAAATTTTGTATAATGTTTTAGGATTTTTTAAATATCGAGAGAAAAAATTAAATGAAATTAAAAAAGAAAGACATCTTGATTTTGAATTTAATAAAATTTGTTTATAATTTTTTAAAAGATCTTTTGAATATGTTCTTGATACGTCAAGTATATCAGTTTCATTCAATTTTTTCAATATAATTTTAGAATACATAATTTTTTAAATAGAAAATATTAAATCGATGTATATAAAATATTATTTTTTCAAATGAAAGGCACGATAAACAGATTTGATAAGTTCATTTTTATATATCGATTTTATATTTTTGATATAATAAAAGAATGCTTTAATATTTTAAAAAGCTGAAAAATATGATTTGATAAAATTAATTTATAAAAATTTTCAAGAAAAACTTTATTTTAAACCATAAAAAAAGAGAGAGAGAGAGAGAGAGAGAGAGAGAGAGAGAGAGAGAGAGAGATTGTGCATTTAATATAATATTAAAATGCATTAAAATATAATAATACGTTAATATTTACAAAACTAATATTACTAAAATATTCGAAATGTGGGATTCATATATAATTTTGTTTTATTTCATAATATAAAAGTTTAAATTTTATTTTACGTAACGCACACGTTCCTGACATATACGAGTATAACCGATACACCCACCGCTTAGCAGTTTGCTTATTTTAGCTACGGATTCAAGCTACAATAACTTATGTACTGAAATATATAATATACCTTATAAAAGATATTATATCACACTCATCTTCACTATCTCTCCCTTTTATCATAAAATTATTTAATCATGTCCTGGACTGATAAATTGAAACCAAAATTATATATTAAAGAATCTTTTCTCTTTTTTTATGGATTCTTTTTTTTATTGAAATTAATTCGCGATTAAATAATATATAATTATTGAAGATACAATGTTCATTCATGTTTTATAATATATGAATTTTTAGAATCATTGCATTATAATTGTTATAATTTGCGTTTATACAATATCACGGTCTGCAGTTAGTTACATTTCAGTTATATTTGACCATTTCTGTCAGCTGCCGCGTTATTAATTAATTAGTAATATAATCTCTCCAAATTTATCAATATTTTCAATTGTAATTTAGTTGAATATTATTATATATTTCGATAAGTTTCATTATTTCATTATTTTATTTGAAGTTGAATTCTTTATATAATTAAAGATAAAAAAAATTGATAAATTTGTCATATTTATATGATATTTAACATAATAACATATTGATATTAAAATGGAATATATAAAACGAAGTATTCTAAATAAAAATGAATAGCAAAACCATGTTATGGAATGGTTGTATTAATGGTTGTATTAAATCGTTTACAATTAGTTTTAAATAGTTACACTTTATTTTGCGTTGAGTACCGTGTTGATTCATATGTCTTTTTATTTATTTTTCTAAATGAAAAATTTGCTTGTTAGTTGTTTCAATTTTTCATTCAAAAAATAATTTACAAAACAATCGAATAAACCAGATAAATTATCTTAAATAACAAAATCATAATCCAGCATTAGATAGTATGGATAATCGTAATAATTCAAATTTGAAGTTTTAAAATTAATGATAAAGACATTAATTTTAGTGATAGATAATGGGCGATGATTCAATGATTATTATTAACGAATTAAATATATCCTAAATAAAAAAATTTTAAATTAAAAGAATATCGTGACAAATAAAACTCAAATACTTATTCACTTCACTGGAAATAATCCTATATGATCGTTCTATCGTCACTGCGGAAAGAAACAAGCTTCTGTCAGCAGTTGTTCTAATTGGATGTCTAGTATCTGCGAAGCAGTGTCACACGTTGTATGAATTAGCCACGCGTTCTAATATACATATATCAAGAAGCACTCAAAGTTCTTAAATGGTAAATTCACGTGTTACAGTCTTTTATTGTCTTCACTATTTATTGTACATGTACATATTTAAACATATTCAGCATATTTAAACGTTGTCTCTTCAGATTTCGATCGATAGGATAATATTATTTAATTAATTGCATTTTATTATCAATATTTACAATAAAAAGTTTAAACTTCAAAAAAATATAATAATAATTGAAAATATAAGTTTAGTATTTAGGGATTATAGCCATTTCTATTTCATTTGTATAATTTAATATCTATAAATCGTTTTAAATAAAAATACAGAAACTAAATATTGTTAGTGATTATTTTATAAAAATATTAAGTTTTATTACTGTGATTAATTTTCTTATTTGAAATGAAAAATTATGACTTCAAAATTTCATTATATATTAAATTTTACTTTCTTATAATTAAATGAGCATTTTTGTACCATAGAATTTTGCAATTACAGTTCCCTATCTCGTTCTATACTATACTTCTTTCGTAAAAATTGTACATCATTACGAATCGACCTAATTAGCTTCAAATGAATCCACAATAATTAGGACACACGGTACAATGTGGCAAGAAACCTCGTTACGATTGTTAACACAATCAATTCACAACACAGTCGATCATCAATGTGGTTTGTTAATTTAAATCATGTTTATTTCACGCATAATCAATACTTGTATATTTTGTCTTCGCTTTTGAAAGTGAATACACAATGTACAGAAACTAATAATTCCAACTATATATATTTATGTCATAAATATCATAATTATGGAACAATTTATAATCTTCAGAAATGTGAAATGGCAGAATATATATAGATATTTATTGCTGATATTTCGTAACAGTTCAAAATTTGCAAAAGATCATTATTTCTCATAATTATTGATGGAATTGTAAATTTTCAATTTACATTTGTTAGTATCTTAATGTGATATTCTTATGCAATCTTATAGCTATTCAAAATATTTAAAGCCATTAATTCTAATTTTAATTATGACAATATATCATATGATACGTGCATATATATCAATTTCGCGAAAGAAAAATTCTATTTTTACATATTGATGATTTTACGTATGGCAGATCTTTTATTTTATTTTTTTTTATTTTATCTCTCGAAATAAAAATAAATAAAATAAAACAACACGTGATGCTATGTATGCATTTAGTTCAGAGATCATTTTTCATTATGCAAGTCCTTTGAAACACGTGCACACGTGCACACGTTGGAAGTGTAGCAAAATACAGAGCTTTTTTCTATCGATATAAATTGTTGTATACCTTGTAAATTATGCATTAATGTCGTGTTTCTGTTTCAGTATGGATGGCTCTGATTTATGCTTCGAGGTCGTCCGGAGAGCAACTGCTGGATTCGTGTACAGTGAAGCTGTGGCCAGGTAAGAAGATCTTTGCATTGTTCACGCACAAGTATTTCAAGCATTAAAGATGTCTCTTTTGTTGCGGATGTATCTTTGAACAGAGTCGAGATAAAGAGAACGTTGTCTTTTATAGTCTTAGCAAAGGATAAATATTTACCGTAGACTTCATCTGAATTGCAATAGCTTTTTATCGTGTATATCAATGATGGAGTGATATAATTTCATGTAAATAATTTCCATAGAATTTTATTTAATATCGTTCAGAGAACAATTTACATTTGTTCTTAATTAATTTTATCGTTTCTTTTATGTTTCTTTCTTGACCCAATCAAGTTTCATTTCCCTGATATCTCTTCTTACTTTTCCTCTTTTGAGAGAATTACGAGAAATTATTGTTGAGGCACGTTTCTAGTAATACTTTTTATATTAAAGATTATTCTTTTTAAAAATCAAATTAGATTTTTATAGAACGAAAATATGGTTTTATTGATATATATTTGAGAATTATAGGAATCTTCGTGTTTCATTTTCGTTGATTTTAGAAAAATATTTTTAAAATTATTCACTTTATAACAATCGTAAGTTTTGCAAACACTAATTATTTAAAAAATATTAAATTTAGAAAAGAAGAATAAAAATTTCGAAATATTTTCATTTCCAAGTCGTATTTTTGAGGCAAGAATATAATTAAAATTACAATAATAATAAATGAAATGAATTTATCTCAATATTTCAGGATTTTGATCTAAATCTTACGAATAGATTTATAATATTTCCTATTTATCGATATTTGATCACATAGTACCATTATTATGCTTTCGCAAGTGATTTACTCACTGGAAGTTTTGGTTATCTGTTTGCTGAATCTACCTGCATTTAGTGGAGCTAGATTAACCAGGAGTATGATGGACAGTGTAGGCACATGTCACGTCCAAAACTGTCTCTGAAATGCGTTTGCTCTCTTCATAGTCGTTTGCAAGCTCGCATCATACTCATAGCTATCACTTTGAATGTCTCTAGATTTTACGAAGCGAATCAATTATCTTCTGTTTTAAATTCTTGAAATCAATATTTGGTGTAATTTTAATTAAAGAATATATTGACATAATTTTAAATTTTAAATTCAAAATTTCAATGAAAATTTATAAATTAGAATAAATTATATTTAGTTATCAGTTTTTAATATTATTCATAAATAATATTTACGTAATATTTTTTTTATAAATATTTAGTCTTATATTTATAGTATAGTGTAAAGGATGCATATAAAAATAAATAAAAATAAAATTGTAATGTAAAACTTAATTTATTTTAAAAATAAGATCAAAGAAAATAGAATAAATAGATCAAAGATCAATTTCTTTATTATTAAAATTTTCAATTAATTATTTTGTTTTTACTGTTTATTAATTTATATTGATTGGCTTCTGAATCATTTTGCATATATTAGATTCAAATTTCTAAATTAAAAGAATGTATTTAAAATTTTTTTTATTTCTATATATTAATTGTTGAAAGCTTTTTTCCATGCCTTTAATATTGAATATTAAATTCAATTTTCAATCGTACAAGTTTAGGAAATTGTTAGGGAAAAAATTTTTTAATATTTTTATCCTTACATATAATAAATTCTCTTTTATAAAGATTTGCGTGGACATAATGCTTGCGAAAAAATAATTGTAGGTACAGATACTTAGCAAATGTTTGAAATTAATTTTCGTAAAAAGCTACGTCATAAAAAAATTTTAATCCGCTATTTTCCATTCAACTTTTCTATTATGATATTATAAATGTAACAATATATCGTATAATCGTATTCATTCATAAATTGATTTAGCAATTTTGAATAGACCGTGAAATTAAGGATTTAAAAGTTATTTTGATGTAGCATGATATTCAAAATTTCTGTAATATAAATACTCATCCAGTATTCCTTTAGGCTTAGTCAATGACATATAATTCACAACAGAATATTTAGATACGATATTTACATATTATAATACAAAAATCGTTGAAATAATATTTCACGTTACAACTTTCATCGAATAATATTTTTCGATTCGACATCGAAAATGTATAAAAAAATTTCAGTATAGCACAAAACATAAATGTCTAATAAAAGGGGCGGTTTACACGAGTTATAAATGCAACCTTCCCGCGACAGAAGTTAGAAGTTGTAGATACATTAGACACGCGAGATGCATTAAACCTAGTTACAAAGTTATTATTCGACACCATTGAGAATTCATTTTACTTGGGGAACAATCGTACAAGTCATCCTCCATTTTGATATCAATAAATTATTTGTGACGTTTATACGATATTCTGAAAGCAACAGGAATAATCACATTTAACGTTGAAAAATTTATACTTCATAAATTATAATTTTCGATATTTTTTGCTTTAATATTAATTTAAATCATTTTCTGAAAAACATTATAAATTTTTATGGGTCAATAATTTAAATTAGCTGAAAGTTTATATATACTAACGAAAACAATGTTTTGCAAGTGAACTTAATTTATCAATATAATTAAAAGGTCGTTTCCTAACGGTATTATATTCCTATAAAATACATTATATTTATATATTGTATATTCATATATTTCAGATTTATAAAATTTATTCATATATTTCATATATTTCTGGAATATTTTCGGATACGTGAAACTTTAAACACATTTCATTCTCCTGTTAATCGATACGTAAATTCCTCGTATATATATATTCTATTGCATATCACAAAAATGTAGTTATTTAATGTTTCTCGTTTTATTTCAATTCTATGTCCTCTCCAACGTTCAATTCGACTTTATATCGCATCGAACACTCGATATTCGATAACTCGATTGAAATGTTTACGTGTTAATCAACCCGACAGTGTCTTCCAAATGTACATGAAAGGGGGTGAATAGTTGTATTAACGAATTGTATCCGTTTACCGTTTCACTCTTAACAGAAAGTCGATTGAACCGACGTTATCTAGACAGTTTAACGAATATGCAATAAATACACGAGAACGAAGCGCTTTAACCATCGTTTTTTATATCTTAGTCAACCTTCAATAACTGGTGTCTCTCATTCCTTTAACATTTTCCTTAATCGACTGACCTATACGGTTAAGAAGTATAGACATTTTTACACCATTTTAACCCCGAGTTAATTTTACTTTCATCGTTTCAATCTGCATTCATTTTTGTTTCCATAAAACAAAATAAATTAGCAATTTTCGTTTCGAATATTAGGTTGGTGAAATATCGTTTTTTAAATAGAAAGAAAAAACTTTTTTTGAAACATTATCGTTCGTTTATTAGATATATATAGGATGATATATAGGATATAATTCTAAATATGAAATTTTTATGAAAATGTAATATTTAATGTTATTAAATATAGAAAAATTCATTTCTATTTTAGTAGTCATAAGTGAAATATTTTTTTTATGCGATTAATAATTATATAAGAAGATAAAATTTAATTTTGAGACACTAGTTTATCAATTTCAAATTCTGAAACGGCATTTTATATCAATTTAATGGAATAAACAATCAATAAATTTTAAGTACGGATAATTCCAATTTAATCCGAATTTAAATGAATTTACAATAGCATATCTATTCGTGTTTCTTGATATATATATTATAAATATGTGTTTTCCACAATTGTTAATCTTCGATTTATTGAATATATATTATCAATCAAAAGTTTATTATTATGTATTTGCGTTACTATTGATTTTCTTATTAGTTTTTCTATCGATTCGTGCTAACTATTTTCTAAATTATTAAATTATACAATATGAATATGATTTTAAAAAATAATAATAATAATAAAATAAAATATTTTTTATAATTCAATTCTTTAAAATTTTTTAAAATTTATATTTTTGCTAATTGTATATTATATAAATATACAAATTTGTTATGTAATCAATAATACAGTATTTTAGTTAGATTTTTTTTAGGCATTCATAAACGATGAAATTATTTTTTCTATTTCTCTCTTGAATTCTTTCTCGATATGCCAGCCACAGTATACCTATATATATATACAGGCATTCCTATTTTAATATAAAACGAGTTCTATTCTTCTCATTGTTCGTATTCAATTACCTATAAAAATTAAAAATTAAATTATTTTTTGAATATTGTCATATTTTGTCGTAAAATAAAAATTTGAAAATAACAATTTATAGAATATTTGATAAAATTTTAACTTTAGACATACATATAAATGTACAAAACTATCTGACCTGGTTTCAAAGTTGTCGTATTTCACTTTTATTATTTGTTCACTTGTCTTGGTATAAAAAAATGTCTACTTTAGAAACTTTCGATATATATTTACAGCTTTTATCCAAAGATCATATCAGGGAATAATTTCATAACCTATTAAGGAAATATATGACAGCAATTAGTATTAGGAATTAGAATACGAGAATGAAACATTTGGGTATTAATTATAATTACATAAATTAATTAGGAAAAATTTGCAACGGTTATTCTAATACATTACGATAATAAATATTCGTATATTCGAAATATAATTTAAATAGAAATCATGAGTTATCTTCTTATGTACAATTTAACTTGTAATATTGTATACATATCAAAATTTTCAATATTCTTTTCTCCACTATATTAAATCTTTCTCCTCTATATAAACCTGTGACCAACCGACATATCGCTTCAGCTATCATGCCAGGTCGCGATGGGATAGAAAATTTTCATCCATCTATTCTGAATAGACAACGCATGGCCATATACGTATATTTTTTGCCTCATCTCCCGCAGGATACCGATATAACAAGAGCTTTCGTTTTTCCAGCCATTACATGCGACAGATCCTGGAGGCGTTGCGCTACTGCCACGAGAACGACATAATTCATCGTGATCTAAAGCCCCAGTGCGCCCTCTTAGCGGGCAAGGAAAATTCAGCACCGGTGAAGCTACGCGGTTTCAGCGTCGCCGTGCAACTCCAATCGTCCCAGGCAAACGGCGTCGGTATGTTTTAACACTTTCTTTTCTCCTTACCTCTCTCTCCACGTTTCTATATCTGCGTGCATACACGTTCCAAGGGAACGTACTCTTTCCTGCGTACATCTCGAGGGAATCGACCGCTACGGCGTTAGCTCTCTTCGCCAAATACTCGCGCTCCTTCTCGTCCTTTCTACATTTAATGTGTATATAACCACTTTGCAATCAATGGTTATACATTGATCGAGCTAAGTTGAATCGATTTTTCTTTTTTTTTTTTTATAAGTAGAATTATTGTAATTTGGAAAAATTGTGATTGTAGCGAACGAACAGTATGGAGGGGACTGTTGTTATATAGTACTATGGGCAAGTCTTAAGTTAAAGTATGATTGTCTAAGTATTTTCGTCATTAGTGAAGCGTTTATTTCTTATTTCTTATCGTTGGTGATTTCGAAGCAGTTTCAAAATAATTTGATAATTTATTATGGTTTTTTTAAAATCATATGATAAAATTGGAAGAATGCAGTAAAACATAGTAAGATTTGATCATGTTATATAGTTCATCCTGTTTTTTAAATATATCGATTCGATGTACTGCATGGTTTATCAACATAAAGTAATATTTTTAAATTAGGGATTTGATAAAGATGAAGATTGAATAGTATTAGGGGATCGGAGAGGACAAATCAACAATATGAAATGTGTTAAATATAGATAACAAGTTAATTTACTTGTAATTTTTTCTGGAAAGTGTTATTCTAATATTAGTTATTCATATTTCTAAAATATTGATATATGAAATACTAATAATTTATGCAATATTGATTTATTTATAGGATTTATAGGATTATTAGGCAGAATTAAAGAAATTATTATTATATTACATATTTTAAAATTATAATATATACGAAATTAAATTATATCATCAGAATCTACAAATAAATCTACAAATCTTTTAACAAATATTTTTTTAACGTATTGTATTTAGAGAAATATTTAATGTTCTTTTCATTATTTTCCACACATTTAGAAAAACATACAATCTTATTACTATTATCGATTAACCGAAACGATCAAACATCAAAAAGCAATCAGTATCAAACTTAGTCAAGCAATTAAAATTTCACGAATCGGTTGATCAAGTTATTTCGAAATCGAATGTTGCTTGCTCAACGATTAATTTGAAATGAATGACGGTGCGGTTCTCTTTGTCGAATACCGCCACAAAGGATCTAGTTATCAAACCAGTTATGTATGTAAATAGTATACCACGATAGTGAAAAGGTTAGTCGCTATAGGCGTTTGCGACGTGTGAATGATAATAAATTACCAATTCCTCTGTGTACAAAGTAAGCAAACTCGGTTATCTAGAGAAGTGTGGCAAAGGTGAAAGGGCACTTTAACGTTTCTTATGTTTCTTGTTAGTTCTAGAAGAGAGCTAACATCGTTCGGATCTAACATGGCCGCCGCCAAGTTTGACTTTAACACGATATTTATTAATTTTACTATTAGATTTTACTACGCGTTAATATCGTGACACATAAGCGCTTCTAATTATTTGCAAACATTGGAGAGGCAGCATTCGATATAATTTGCAAATTATTATTGTAATTTTTTTTAAATACATATATATATATTTTTTTTAATTTTGTAGTAAAAAAGATGTTAGTATCGATTAATTTCAATTAATTCAATTTTAGTAGAATTTGTTAGTTATATAATTTTAGCACGTTATTAGTGGGCAATTATCATATTTTGTGATAATAAATTTCTATAAAGTTTCATTATAGTATTGATATCGGATTAGATTTCGAAAGAAAATTGATGTTTCATTTTGTTATCATTTTTATTTTCGATATATTCTCAAAATTATTATCAAAAGGTTACTTTTTTTAATCAAAAATGCAGATTTTCAATATATCATGGAAAAACTTTTACTTTGCTTTAAAAATATAAAGTATACGGTAATTAAAAACGAATTCGAATGAGAGTTTAAAACATATAAAGTTTCTTAATAGAGAACTTTTACTCGTACCCGATAAATGGCCGAGTTTCAGCGTTTTTCAGTCAGTGAAAATATATTCCAGCGGAAGATGTTTCCTAAAGAAAAATCATTTCACAAAAAGTAAAAGAGAGAGAGAAGAAGAAACAAGAAAAAAAAAGAAGTCGAATTTTAAGTAGTCAAATGCTTTTAAATAGAACGTTAATTAAATATTTTTCGTGAATTACTCGTGTATCCTTGCCTTCGAATTCGCTCATCTTCTCATCTTTGTAGTATTAAGTAAGATTTACACGGAATATTATGAATGTTGTTAATTTTTTTTTTCACGAATAACTAGCAGAAAAGGACAGTGTTTAAATATGTGTTGGTTGGGATCCATTATTTACGAGAACGATCTTAACGAATGTCGTTGAGCTACGCGACCTCCTTTTCACTAGACAGTGTTATAGAAGCTGCCTTAAAAGATTCAGAGGCAAGGAGATGAGCTTACCCTCAGAGTTAGGACATTATTGCTGCCAGCAGAGTGACATATTTGTAGACAAAGCTGATTAACGTCTTTGTAAATGAAAAGAGCCACTTAATTACACGAAAAGACGATTATTGGAGGATGAATCGACAAGAAAGCTTCTTTGTTATAGCTTTAATATCACGAAAAGTTCGATTAGAAGATGAATTGGATCGAATGCTGCCTTTTCAGAATGTATACAAAGATAGTATATATGTATATATTACTGTTCAAAAATATCTGTATGCTGTATTCATTTTTGATAAGATATATTTTAATTTTTTGAAGGTATATAAGTGTAGAACAATTAACAATGATTTTTTTTATATAAATTAATTATTAGATTCTTTTGAAAGATAAGATTTTCTTAAAATTTACTAATATTTATTTGTTTATTCTTATTTTAAAAAGTATTTGTATTTTCTGATAGTTTCTGATATTTTCTGATATTTTCTGATTAAATAATACAAAATATATTGATATATTTACATCTAATTAATCTATATAAATAATAATAAATGCAATATAAATGTACAAATAACTATTTTAATAAATAATTTTAATTCTATATTAATTTCAAAGATAGTAAATATTGCTTTGAATCATTAACTTATTCTCAATTTGATAAAATTCAAATAGATACTTATTATTAGTATGCAAATTCACATCAATATCCAAATATTTAGAACAGTAGTATATATCATGTACATTTATTTTTTTCTTTCCTATATACATGAAACAAAACGTGTTAACAAACGTTCATTAAGAATAATTTTTCAAAGACACTTGGTGTTTTTGTATCGTGTCTCTGTCTCTCTTTCTCTCTGCTGAATGTCCTATTCTTCATTATTGGCTGGCTTGGTCGATGATTGGCAGTCGTATTCGAAATTTCTCGATGTTCAATGTGCAGAATGCAACGGCTTTTATCGGTTATTTTTCGTCCAAAAAATTTCTTCTCGTTACTTTTTTAACGATTATCTTCGTTGGTGTCCATTTTAATTATAATCATTTTCCTTCTGTTGCTTCGACATCGCATGATACTACGGTAAGTAGAGTTTATATTTGATCAAGACTTCAAAACTACGATATTGGGATTTATACCCAATTTGGGTTTTTGGTTTACACGATTGCAATTTCTCCTTACTTTTTACTTGCGATGGAACCTCGATTATTCCCTGTAAATACGTTTTTATGCGAGAAAAGTTAACACAAAATACGTGATAATTAATCACATTGTACAAATGTACTATTTTTTTTTCATTTTATTACTTTATTCTTTATTTTTTTTTTAATTTTTCTCATTTCTTGACTTTTAATATTATCTCGGAAGAATTTGATTTCAAAATAATCTTTTTGAAATTTTTTTTATAAATCAATTCATCCAATTTATCTTCTCTTTTTTTTTTTCGTATGTACATTCACGTTTTTTGAAAAGAACGATACAAATGTTTTGACAGTAAATGTTTTGAAATGTCTGAAAATGATATTATTGAATTAATATTTTTCATGTTTAATCAATTCCGTTTGTTTGACCTGAATTTTATAATTCAATTATGTGAATGTGAATGTGTGGATCAAAAAGATGATCTGTTATAAAGTTACGTATGAAAAATATTCTATTATAAATATAAAATGTACGAGATATGTAGGGAATTGATAATTCCATTTTATTTTTCAAATGAAATTTATAGGAATAAATTTTGCTATTTTAATGACAAGATTTGATGAATATTTATTATAAATTTTATTGAAGCTTTTTTTTATATATATTTTTTTTTTATTAAAGTCAAGATATTTTTTCTTTCTTTAATAATTATTCTTTGCATATTCTTCAAATAGATAATTTAAATTAATTAATTTTAAAATTTATTCGTATAAAGTACGTAAGTACTGATTTAATCAAATTCGAGGCAAAATAAAAGAAAACGCTCTTGGTCTATAATTAATGACTCATCTATTCAACGATAAATATATATTTCTCATATTTGTCATATTTTATGATAATGATTTTAATTGTATTCTAAAATTTCATTATATTTTCGCGCTATATTTCTTCCTCGTCGAGTTTTATTTTTTCTTCCGAGATAATGTGTTTACGAATGGTGGCCAACAAAAATTTTATTAAAATAAAAACCATAAACCATGAATGCGATAAAGAGAAAATATTTCTACATTTCGATGGTATTTTAGAAAATTTAACAGAATACCATAATTTACGGTTTTATTAAACGAAAATAAAAATATTTTTACTTAATCATTCTTGATTGAAAAAAAAATGCAATTAGAGAGATATTCACTTTCTTTTTAACGTATTCTTATTAATAGTGAGAAAGTAAGGTCTAATCAGTCTTCCGTAGACAGTTCTATTTCTGAGGGAAGGAAGTAGCGACTAATGAAGAAAAATACACCTTGATGAGACTGAGTCTTGGATTACATGCTTACGAACTTACAACCACAACTATCTCAGTTATTATCTTTCTCAAAAGATGTGTGCAAGATCTTAAGGGTGTATTTACATAGTACATGAAACTCAATTCTTATTATTAAATATTCCATAAATATAATGAGTATCTACATAAGTAGTGAAATATTAGCTAAAACATCTATTAATGATCCTTTCTGTTTCTGAGTTTTTGGCTACAGTATTTTGTTTCAATTAGTCTGAAATTATCCGTGTGTATTTTTTTTTGTCAGAAAATTAGATCTGGATCTCTATGTGATATACATAATTTCTTTGAGTATGATATATGATATATATCTACACACACGTTGGTAATTTAATGATATTATTAATTAGTAAATTGTTGAAAGTATATTCTGCGGATATTAACAAAAATATCTCTTTGAAATCAAGCCATAAGTGTGAAATAATCGTATAAATGAAATTATTAATTTTAGAAAGAATTAATGAATTTTTCTCCTTTTAAATTTTTTTTTTTGAATTTTTATTGTCAGGAAATTATGCCTTGATAAAATTTTCATTGATTTTCCAGTTTATATTTTGAAATATTTTTTTTATTAAAAAATGAGTCAATTATGAATTATATATTAATTCATTACAAATATAAACGTGAATTAAATGTTGAAAAAATTAATGTTAATTTATTATATCAATATCTTTAGTTATTGCAAGATATGATAACATATGTATCTACCAAAAGCCATAAAAAATAAATGATCTGGAAAATCTTGTTGAAAAGTGATCTTATTCGGAACAATGCTCGACCACATTTTGTGATTATGATATAGGAATTACTGCTTGAAATTCAGACAGAATAATAGGAAAATCTGCCTTATCATCAAGACCTTTCGCTATATGAGTTTCATGTTTGGTCAAATGGAAAAGGAGGGTTGAAAATTTTATTTTAATGTGGATAATAAAGGGAAGAATCTTAAAATTGTAATTCCAATTAATCTTAGGCATTAAAATTTCTTAAATTAACAATACATAAATGGATTTCTTTATACAATGTTTATAAATAATCAAAACCATTGGCTATTTCAAAAAATAGTTAGAGTTGATAAAAAAATAGAGTTAAAAAAAAAGATTTTTTTTTAATTTTTCTAGAATTTATTTAAGAATTACATTTCAATTATATTTTATCTTATTTTATTCATTTATTATTATGTTATTATACTTATCAATACATTGATTTCGAGTAGTTTACTTATCACAATTCCTAATTACAATGTTAGATTTTAATTCTTAATAACAATATAATCAGATAAAAGTTACATAGAAAAGATAAGAATTTTTAAAAAGTGAACATGTATATCAGATTGCATGATTGATGTCAGAATGAGAAAATGTCAAAGATTTTAATATTCTCGTACTTATTTTCTAAGCTTTTGAAGTTTTTTTCAGTTTCCAGTACTTTTCTTTATTTTCTTTGGAAAAACGTTCGTTTCGAAGTATTGAAGCTAGCTTCATCAGGATTTCATCAGACACGCCAATGTCAATTTACACATTTGAACACTATGCGAAAAAGACGGAACTTTGGTTTTCAGATAGAACCCTGAGGCAGCCTGTGAACGTGTCAAAGGTTTCAATATTCATGTAGATTAAGGTCTTTTTACGCGTCGATAAATAAACAGCCTTAATCCACTGGCAATTGCTCTACCTCGATTCGACGAAGTCAATTCCGTATGTTTCAATGAAAATTTTTACTAATCTGTTCGAGTAACAAAATAAACACATTTTTTTATTCCATAAAATTAACTATCGCTATTTTTATAGAATGATACAATAGTTAATTTAGAAAAATAATCTATATAAATTTTTTAAGTAGAAAGGGATCTTTATATTTTAAAAAGATTTCAAAATTATCAATAGAAATAGAAAAAATAATTTATAAATTTATTAAGGAATATTTTTTTTAATTTTGAAAAGTCAATTTTTTTTGTAAAATTTTAGAAAGACAAAATTTTTAATATCCACAATTTATATATTTCCATTCAACAAATATTCAGCAAATATTTTCATTATATCGTGTAAATTTACAGAGAAAATGCGCTTCGTAATTCCAGTTAATCTCAGGCATCGAGATTATTTGGTAATTGAACGTATGGATAATCGGATACGTGAATAATCGAGGTTCAATCGTAGTACAATAATTAATTTCATCTTCTTTATCGCAATCATAATCAGTGCACAACGTAGACAAAACTCTTTCATTCATAAAGAAAAGGAAAAAAAAAAATCTCCGATATTTCCAACCACCGTTGCACCCTTGTTTTATTATTATAAATCCGTTTTAGTGATAATCGTAGGAGGAATTGTCGCGCCACATTTGATCGTATCGCCGTTAAGAGCCGTTGATAAAATGCACTTTGTTATAGCAATCGATCCACTTCACTCGGTGCTCATGCGTAAGTGGTCAGACTTTCATTCATGCTCCGTGATTCGTATAAAATCAATGAATCATGCCGTAAAATCAATGATTTCGTCCCCTCGTTCCCCGATCCTTGTCTGAATAGTGGCGGCTAAATTTATTTTCCATGCACCCGTGTTCTTTCCTAGTTTTTCCGCGTTGAGAACTGACTGAAACGCGGAAACAGATACCACGATACATTTTTCGTAGGAGATGTGGAGTATTGATCCGAGTTGTTTGCGAAAGAATGTTACGGAGGATCTAAAACAAGTATGTGCTGCGCCTCGTTGTAATTTTAAGCTGGGCGCATTTCAATTCGAGGATCGAATAAATGAAATTATCATCGAGGAAAGATTTTCTTCATAGGGCGTTGTGAATGAACAAATATTTAATATTCGAATAAAAGTTTTTTTCACTTTCTATTTTGTTTCTTTTAGAGTGACTTTTGGGATTATTTCGTAGAAAATGTTTAAGTTCTTTTTTCTAGTACATAAATATGGCAATAGTTGCGAGGTAAAATTGTAGAATTAGGATAAAAGACTCAATTACTGTCACTTTAGGAACTTTGACTTTATTGCACATTTTTTTGTATTTACTTTCATAGTTGAAGGATACAATAACCTAAGACTTTGTTACATGTTAGTAGAACAGAAAAGCGATAGTTGTTACTTTTTAAAGTAAAAAATTTTAATATATTAATTTTATGATTTGGAAATGGAAGATTAATAAATGCTTTGAATTTCGAAAAAAATAAAATTGGATCTTCTCACATTGTGAAGATTTGTTTTTTATTATTATTAAATATTACATATTTTAATTTAATTTAATTTAAAATATAATCATAATTTAGTTAATTTAAAATATAATCATAATTTAGTTAATTTAAAATATTATCGTATTTAAATTATATTGAATTAAATATATTATTCAATATAATTTATTTTATGGTATTTATAAAAACTCACATTTTAATATCATGATTATATATTTTTATATAGTAATAAGAAAAGGATAATTTTTCTTTTATTACATAAATTATATTTTTAATTTTGCTAATTATATAATTTTAATATAATTGTGTATGAGTTCACAAGTTTATTTATTTAAGATATTGGTAATTTACTCTTTTATCGATTAAAATTAAAATTAACATTTCAAATTTTTTAAATAAATGTTTATTTTGAATTTCTAATAATTAGTCCAATTTTCTTGCAGTTTTATTCGATAAATAGCAATAATTTAAAATCTAAAGGGAGAGGAATTCTTGGAATTATTATTGGAGAAAGTTGTCATGATTAAAGCAGATGTTAAATTCGTCGAAAGCTATATTTATTATGTAACTTTCCAACTTTCGGAACTAATTTAAGGTATCGAACAATAAGAAAAACACAAATATCAAAGAGAAAAGTAGCCTTAAAAGTGGAGCAGCAAACTTCGTATCTTCGAAAACTGGATCTTCTTGGATTCATGAGTTTCTAGATGAACCGCTTAAGGAATTTGAGAAAGGCGAAAGATGTTCCTTTTTTTTCTTTTTTTTTTTTTGGATAATAGTAGCCTACTTTTCTAAAATTAATCTTCTTTCTAATTTTTATATTTATTATGCATTGTTTCGATGGTATCAAAGCGAGTATGTTATTGAAATTTTTATTATCATATTATCGATTCAATATAAAAAAGGTTTTGTTATCTCTTTTTTTCGCTTTCAATACACGAAACACGAGGCTTTGATATTTTTCGCAATTAATTTCAGTTCCTAGTTTCTTTGCAATTTTTACATTAGAAAATACGATGAAAGAATGTGTTAGTAGCATACAAGAATTTTTATCGTATCGTATAGCTTATAATAATTATAACTATAAAACAGAACATGTTTATTTTATGAGCATAAAATGAATAGCATTGAAAAAAACTGAAATATTTAAAAAACTGAAATATTTAAGAAAATAATTATGCAACGAAATCGATCGAAACAAAATTATATTCAATTCTAGTAATGAAAATTTCACATGATGTACATTACAAATTTTCTTCGGTACACTGTAATAAAGTTTGAGAAACATTTTGCGCTATTATAGAATTTGCGTGTGGAAATATTGTCCGCAATTTTGCTTGAAAACATTCCAAAATTTTATTATAGAAAATTTTGAATAGCTACGCGAGGAAAGAGCATCGCTTAAAATGATAAAATTTGATAACTTGAAATTTGGTTTGAATGAATACAGAGTATTACAACGAGTATCGGCAGTGTCTGAGCCCAAAGGGGCAGCTCTACTTGAAGGCCGACAACGAGGGTAAGCCTGACCTAACCTTTAATCATCACTTCCGCAGGAGCCTTGTATCATCATGCCATATGTATCACACACTCACATATACAAACACATATACAGAATCACATATATTCACGTACAGAACCACACATTATGCTACTATCTTAACCCGATCCGTGTGTCCCTCTCACATTACTGTACTTCTAGAAGCTGCCACTGCTTGCTTGCTTGCTTATTCGCGTTCAGATTTCGACCACGAGTCTGAAACTTCGATCTGAGAACGATCTGAAAAACTGTCACCTTGTCACCATGTGTTTTATCAAACCTTAACCCGATACGAATTCGAAATAAAGGAAAAATCCTTCGATCAGAGGATTTGTTACATTTGAAAAAACATGATTATTCCCTATCTTTCACCATTGTTCGATGTGATTTTCGATGTAAATAATTATACAAATAATGTTACATGGTTTTATATATACGAATAGACTCTAACTAAATGAGTTTTTTTTTTAATACGAAGCTTTGTTTTTTGGAAAATTGGAAATTTTTGAAAAATTCTGTTCAAAAGTTTGGGATTAAATTAACATATATGTAGAGAAATGAAAAAGAATTAAAATTTTGGAAAAAGAAAATCATTTCAAAGAATTAGAATATCATTAGCCCAAAAAATTTTTTCGTTAAAAATCAAAGAAAATGAAAAATGAAAAATTAGCTAAATATTCAATATAAAAGGGAAAGTAAGATTCGATTTTCGACTCACATTTTTAAAAACTAAGTTTCGTATCTAAAAATTATATTCTACATTCTATATTTTCAATTTCTTTATTACAATGCACTTGAATTTAACTTGATTCCATTTCAATGTTCTCAATGTATCATAGATTCCATTTCTGTACCATTTATACATCCATATTTTTATTCAAATTTCGCGATAAATTTTTTAGTAGCGATTAATACAATGACCCAATTTACCATTTTATTTTTATATATATATACATACATATAAATGTATATGTATAGAAAATATATATACATATAACAAGACACCACAGTATCCAAAGGAAGTCGTTCGAAAGCAAACGAGGAATGGCAAATTTATAGCCAATGATAACTAATTAAAGAAAGCATCCCTTTTTATCTTCAACGACCAAACGAATCAACGAGGTTAACGTTCAATTGGCCGGATAAAGACGCAACTATACCAAAAGGAATCGTTTAGAAAAATCCGTTTTCCACGACTCGATGCTCTGACCCGTACCAAACTCGATTCTTCGATACAATGACACAAACACAGGTCTGTCTTCCTCTACGAATAACGGCGATGACGATAAGGTCCTCCTCTTATCGTCGATAATGGCGGACGCCACCCAACCCGAAAATTACTCTGACGATAACGATCCTTGTCCTATTTGTCTGTGTTCTTTCGATAGGGCTGACGTCTCCGAGCTGCAATTTCCCTTTCGAGGACCTGACCGACGCCGAGGATTCGCTAGTGAGCGATACGGAGGACAATATCGGTACTCGTATGCCTGCCACATCCGCATAATAACGAGAACCGGGGGTAGAAACGACGAAAAACGAATGAAAAAGAATGGAAAGAAAGAAAAAAAAATCTTTCGACTCTTCTTCGAAATATTCTCGTCTATATCGAATCGTTCGTTCGAATACGCGCGCACAACCTTCTTGATTGGTTTTAAAAGACTGTGTTCGATTTCTCTTGTGACGACGTCATATCGTTAGAACTAACAGGGGATCGATTAAAATCGTTCCTGGTTTTCGATGGCACGCATATATTCGTTCTACCCCCGCGTGTCGTTCGATTATGTCAGCTTCAGAACAACACGTAGTGTCTGCGTAGACACTCCACTTGACCTACGTACGGTAGTTTGTTCCTGTAAAATCGTTGTGCAGGCCCGCGTAGTGACAAATACACTTGTGTGTCGTCGAGCTGTCTAATATTCTCGAGAAAAAGACAGAAACGCCCATTTTTATTTTTTATTTTTTATTTTTTTCTTGTTTCTGTTCTCGTTACCTTGGTTTGTTCCCTTACATCGACGTGCCCCCCTTTTGTAGAGTGTACGAATGAGTCAACTTCTGCTTCATCGTTATAGGGATTCTATGATTGAAGGGTTCATTACGATTTTCCTTGTCCATTTTTATAATTAGAAATAGTATCAATAATCAATAAGTTTTTATTTTTGACGATTAAAGAAGAAAGAAAAGAAGATTATTTATCAAATTAATGTATATGTAAAACTTTTTTTTGTTCGTTATGAGTAAGTATTGTATTGGATAGCACGTATTCATAAAAGAATGAACAAATTTTGGTGATATTTATATTTTTAAAATTTTTAATCATGACTCCTTTTAGTACGTAATAAACTCTTCAATGTTTTTCTTGTTTAGTCTGATTGCGTTCAGAAATTGCCCGATTGTTGGGCTTGTTTGTGTCGTCATTGTTCGTAGCGGTAGACTAGCCTGTCTCTATGTGTCTGCCTATATATGTATGCCTTTGTGTTTGTCTTATCGTTTGTTATCTGTGGTGTCGTACATCATCAATATTTTCCATCTGTTATTTAAAAAAAAAAAATAATATCATGCAAGTGAACATTCGAACATAAGTGTCTAAACATGAATATGTGTTTTACACATACATACATCATTGCAATATATCATCATGATAATGATTTTGCATTTAAAGATTATTGAAAATATTATTTTATATAGGTATCATATATTTTAAAATGTAATCCTCTTTTATATCATATGATCATCAAATTATACGTAAATGAGGAAAAATAAATTTTATAAAAAATAAATCCGTATTTTGCAGAAAATATTTCTCTTCGAAATCAACGTGCATATCTAGATTTATTCCACTCAATTCGAACGGGCAAAAGCAAATTTTAATTAACTTCTCTCGAAATCGATAAATGAACAACTGAAATAAATTAAAAAAGGGAGGGGAAAAAAAGAAATAAGCAATGTCAAGTACGTGACAGTACAGTTTTCAAGATTTCAAGCGGTGAGAATCGAATAAAGCGGATATAGCAATGCGTTAAAATGATTGGTGCGTATGAGCTTTCGTTCGTGATCAAAATTTTAAACAGCAGATCGGAAGAGAGGATTAAAGATGAGATTTGCGAATGTCATAAAATCACGATTCTATAAATTATATATCAGATTTGAATTTCAATGTCAATTTAAATCGAAATAGAATTATCTATATTGTTTATTCGATCCGCTATCTCTCAGCGTGGATTAAAATAAAATGTTGTTCTATCTTTTTTTTTTTTCATTATATTCCCATGAAAAAGCAATGATAAAAAAATTCACGTTCAACTACTCACAGTTTTACCATCGCGTAATTTTGCAATCCTTTTTGCTCGCATTTATTACATATATTCGCTAAAGTTTAATGCACCAACATCGACCACGTGGAAATGATTTATGGTGAGTGGTTCGTCATATTTGCCACATGTGTCCACGAAGCAACTTGTGTTATGCATAATGTTACAAATTAAGAAGACAAAATGCATTTATTGAACAGTTATTGTTAATAGATTTAATTCACTATTAATGATAATTATTTCTCTCCATAAATATTTACAGAAATATATCATAAAAAAAGAAATATTATTATTTGTTATTGTATATATACACGCATTATATTTTACGATATTATATATTAACAATTCGCATAATTTCTTCATTCATATTTGATATCGACAGCTTCGTATTGCGAATATTATTATATTTTTTTCAGCATCATTTTTTTGAAATTTTATATTCTGTCTTATTATCTCCATCTCATTGCACAGATTCATCTTTGTAATCTTGTTAATGTATGTAGTTTGATGTATTCCCCTTATACGTCTTTTTTTTCATGTTTTATGCTATATATAATTCACATTCTCTCTATGTATTATAATTTTGACCTAGTTTCGTGCATTTTCGTATATAATTCCGGTTGGTGAAAATTTGAGAGAGATGGACAGAATTTTCTTTACCTAATATATATGCTAATTTGCTAGTTATTTTACTCCCTTACGTAAACAACATTTATCTTTCACTAAAGGAGTTTTGTAAGTAGTACATTATGATTTGTTTATTCATTTGATGTTGTCAAGTTTATATAATATCCGAAACATTGCAATTATCTTTAAACAAATATTTTTGTACAGTTTATACAAATAAAAATTAAATGTTTAATTTATATATACACATTTCGCTTATGTATAAAATTAATTGTATTTATTTTCATGTTTTTATATTTAAATGAATGTATTATATTTATACAGGTACATCCATTTTTCAAAGGATTTTTCATTATGAAACAGAAACCTAATTATCTGTAGATATTAAAATTACTAAAAATGTGATTATATTTGTTGCAAGAAAATTATTGCATATATTTTTGAAAAATTTTAGAAATTTGTGAATCGTATTACATCTTATTTAGATTAAATTTTGATTCATTTTTTTAACTATAATTAAAAAATGAATTTTATCGACTAATTAAATTGTTCATTTTCACGTTTTATTATAAATTAAATTAAGCAGAGATATTTAAAATAATATTATTACGTTAAAGCGTTATAAAATCAACAATTTATTAATAATATTATAAAATGTTTTTCAAATTCTTACTCTTACTGATATATTTAAATTCTGCCATTAGCTGAAAGATTTTCATACTTATAATATAAAATCTTAAAATCTTTAAGTTTCAATCGAAAAGACAGGATAATTGGGTATTCTGTTTCGCTCGTTGAACGTATGTAAAACATTACGATAGTTAAACAAACTTTTGCAATAAATAAATTCCGCGCGTATCTACTATTTCTGCTTTGTTTGCTTTGACAATCGCGTACGCTATCGTTCACGTTTCTCTAAATTCATTTGTTCAATATCCTTTTTTTATCCAGCTTTTCTGCCTCGTTTCTGCAACCTCCAGCTAGATATTATTTATACATTTGATTAGCACGCTGCAATTTGCAAAACATTGCATACTGTGCTCGTACAAGTGCGCCTAGATGCGGCAATGCGTTATTCTCTTCTCACCGAATGTTTCATTTGTTTCGCATTTGAATATAATACATATTCGTCTGTTGGCATTACATGCATATCCAATTGGTCCAGTCGATCTAGCATTCACGAAATAACGAGCGGTTCTATCTCTTTCTTTATGGCTATCGAGTTTTCAATCGTTAACGCGATGAGATTCATCGGAATATTTTAAATTATTCGGAATACAGATTACCCGTGTTTTATTCGTTCAGTCCCTTCACTCTCCTCCCCCATGATCGCGTTAGTTTTATCAAAAAATTATTTTTTACAATAAAAATCCACGATCAATGTTGATCGTTTAAGATATACGCAAAAGTTGAAGATACTAGAAATACGATGGCTGGAACTCATATTCATAAATCCAAACTATCTAAGTCTTTGTCTTTATTTATGCGTATATATTCATTTTTATTATCCGATTTGAATTGCTAAGAATTGAAAGAGAATTCTATTGTTAAATTCTTCGTTGAAAAAGCTTTAAATCTTTTAAATCTTTATCTAATCCTTTGTATAGAATCCGGCTCAAGGATCAAGAGAAAATTTCGTTGTTAAATTTTTGTGAAGAAAATCCGCGTTGAAAAATTTTAAATTAAAATTTAGATTTTAGACTTCAAATTTTTTCAAAGATTTTTAAGAGAAAAAGTTTTTTAAAGTTTAGATAAAAAATTAATCCGGAGCAGTAGTTGCTGTACTCAGAGGATTAATTAATAAAGTCTACCGAATCAAAAATGATCCAGCCATCGATCCTTGCCTTGATCGATCATCGAAAAAGAAAAAAATTTCGTCAAAAACGCGATAGAAAAACTTATTAGAGTACTTGTGTTTACTTGTGTGATCGTAAATAGCATCGAGGCGAGAATTTTGCTCATATGGATCAAACTTTCAATTTGGAACTTAACGACGAAGTTTCGACCCGGGTATGAAAGTTTTCACGAAACGTGTAACGATCGACTGCGAACTTTCGAAGCAATCACTGCCCCAGCTCGCTTCCATCATGCCGAATATGCCGTGTTTTACATGATTCTAAAGATGTTCTTGGTCGTGCAGGTCGTGTTGGGTGTCCACACTTCATGGCGCCGGAAGTGATCCAACGGAGACAGTACGGGAAGCCTGGTGACGTTTGGTCAGCCGGAGTACTACTTCATGTCCTATTAACCGGTACACTTCCATTCGTTGGCTCTCGAGATAGACTGCGAGAAGCAATTTGCAGAGGACGAGTACAGGTAGAAATTGATTAAACGTAATATTTTCTCTTGCTCTATGAAAAGAAGAAAGATGATAATATATTTTTACATACATATTTTAATATAACGTTTACACGATATTGTGCACCAACAATGAAACTATTCATGACATAATCGTAAAACTTTCAGATGGAGACACCATTGTGGGACAATATTAGTGAACCGGCGAAGGATCTCATACAAAGAATGCTCACAACGGATGTAAATCACAGGATTACCATACAAGAAGTGCTGAACCACAAATGGCTTAGAGTAAGTTAGGTTTGATTGAATCAGAAGTAATGAGAGGATTTTTTTTTTTCAGTCATGTTCAAAAGATTATGTTAATTGTTAAATGACGTTTCTCAATACTTGAAAGTATGTAAAGTTTTCGAGCATGAGTTTAAAAGTGAAATCATCAATATGGACGAACTTTATAAAGGGAGAATTTTCATTAACAAAAATTCGAAAAGCTTTTCATCTCGATTTATTTTTACGAAAGAAAAAAAGAAAATATTGTAACGTGAGAAGTTGGAAATTGTTTTTGAGGAGAGGAAATAATCTTCGTGTATAAAAAATATAAAAAATGATTGAAATAATGGAACTTTTATTTCTCGAAAGTGTAACTATGAAGTACAAACGATTATTCCCGACAACACGTGTATTCGTGTTTAACAATTTCTATTTAATAGATGCTCGGAGCGTATCTGCCTTCTTTTTATATCGTATCAGCTTTTCGATAAACGGCCTCATTTTCTGTTATTATATCCGGTGAATGTACGTTGCGCATGTGCACGGCATATGGTGTAATAAAGTAAGAATATACCTATATGACACGACAGTTAGCCAGTGACCTAAGGTAGCGAAGCTTGGAGTCACCCCATATATCGATGCAATACACGTGCAACTGGGCTATCGATCGCTATAGCAGGGGCAAAGTTCCACCGGTTAATGAAAATAACTGTAGCGATGTATATTTTTCTCTGTGCCAGTTACAGTTTTTTGAACGTGACTGCACACTCGCTCAAGTTCTAAGAACTTCATAGAAAACGGGCGTAATTATCGTCCCTTTTTCTTTTAATAAGAAATTTCCCGATAGATTTTTTCGAAACAAATATTGGACACTCCTTTTTGTTCGAACGTATAGATCACTTGGTTATTGGTATACAAATTCATTTGTTCATATTATCCGTTTATTTCATTTCACATAAGGAATATTAATTTCTTTCAGAATATTATAATTTATCGTTAAATATACGAAAATTTATAATCACTGAAGTTAATGAAAAATCACTATATTTTATTTTAAACGAATATTAATCTCTTTTTATTTGATATATATGTTAATTAAGTAGAAAATATTATATGATATGATAATTTATTGCTGAACACGAGAATTTCTTACGTTTATGGGGTTTGAAGTTAATAAGAAATAATTAATATTAGTTGTACGTTCCATGCTCTAATTTCAGTAGTTATTTTTTCATGATTTATCACATATAGGGATTTATTTATAATATTACTGTTCGTAATTTAATAACGATATTAATGTTACATAATCCTTAAATAAATTATATTTGTAGGATCGTGATAAGGGTGTGGCCCGAATACATTTAGCTGAAACTATAGAAGAGCTTAAGAAATTCAATGCTAGACGAAAATTGAAAGACGCTGTGAAAGTGGCGATTTCGTCCTCCAAATGGCACATCCCATATTCGGAAATTAACGGTGACAGCTTTTTCGATATAGGAGACGATGAAGTTATAACCACAGGTATGAATATTTGTAATACTTATGTATATTGTATAGTCATAATTATAAACAAAGGATAAAACGCAATTTAGAATTTGAGTTTCAAATAAAATTATATAAATTATATATATATATATGTGTGTATATATATATATATATATATATATATATAAATCAAAAAAGTAAGTGTTATTATATAAGTTTTTTACTATTTTATTTATATTTTTATCCTATTTTTATCCTATTTTATTATTATTTTATATTATATTACGCTTAATCTAATTTAAAATTATAAACAATTAATGAAATCAGTTAATTATTAAGTCATGATTATTTCCAATAATAATTAAACGATTGATTAATTGCAAACTTAATTATTTTTTTAATTATATTTATTATTATAGTATATATTCTAAAATTATATTTATTTTTCAGGTGCTGTAGCTGAAATTATAGACTCTCTCGATGATATTGAAGTACTTCAAGAGAGTGGAAGACTGACGCGTGCCGAGATACTTAATGCAGTTGATGATTATCGTCTTCGAGCTATTTTAGAGGTATGTTTGAGATATCATAAAACAGTTCTAAATCTTGTATCAATAAATTTCATATCTCATAATTTTGAAATACAGTTTCCAGTTCTTTAAATATGTTATTTATATAAATTCAAATATATAGTATCAAGAATTTAATAATTATAATTACAAAATTTAGGCAAGCAGACAAATTTCTAAAATAAAATTTCTAAAATATATCATCATATAGATCTCTATCTTATCTGCTTACTTACTGTATATCGATAATATAACGAAGATAATGATAATTCGTTTGAAATTGATTACTAAGATTAGATATTAACGAGATTTACTTTATGTTTACTAATGATATATAATTTTTATTAATTTTTTTTCTTATAATTATTTCAATTTTTATTATACTTATCATTAGCTCTTTTATTTTATCGACATACGGTAATAGTTCTTATTCGTGGCGCCACTGTTGATTTCTATTGATTTCAAGGTCATTCCATGCTCCACTGTTTCGTTCTACAGTTTCAACCCTTTATCATGTTTATATCCCGAGGGAAGAGGTACGCGCCCTCATTTTATTCGGGAATAGGGCGCAAGCGCTTGATCCTTGATTATCAAGATGGCTGACGTGTTGGTCTGATAAACAAAATGCTATACAGGATTGCAAATTCGTCACAATTCATTTTCCATTAGATAGATGTGTATGTATATCTCATTACATAAAAACATATGAAATCAATAATTTATTTGTTAGAATTAGGAATATCGTAAACAAAAAGATGCGGCTTTGTCAATTAATGTTCTTCAGTGAAGTTGAATTGGCCGGTGATCTCCTCGAAATTGCCTATTTCTTGGTAAGTAAATCGATTTTAAACAAAATGTGGGTAATTATCGGCGTTGATTTTGTCTTTTTCTTTCGTCGGTAATGTAAACAATACCATCGTTCCATTCATCACACATGATCTTTCGCTGCACCGCGACGTGATAGGACATCTGAAGGCTTCACGATGAACTAATCTGTTTTCCCGCGAATACGATTAGTACATGGCTGATAGGCTTAATAAACGGATGTGTGGAAATTAATACGTGATTTATTCAACCATTTGGATGAAACTGATTTCGAATTTGTTTTAGTATTATTGTGTTTAAGTTATCTATGTAAGTATTTTAACCTATTAATAACTATTGACTATTATAATTTATATATGAATATGGAAACTGTATTGCAAAATATACGAAATGAAGTTATCATATATATTTTTCACACATAATATACAAAAGAGTATATTGACATGAATACATAACCAAAGCTATTGGATTTAGTGAATTTGAAATATCTTTATAGTTTTAGTCGTGGAAATTCAATATAAGGATTAACATAGTTGTTTTTATTCAGCTTTACGATAGGATTTCGACTCGAGTTCCAACGCCATGTCGAGCGCCACAGACAGACGCTGTTCAGCGTGCGCGAGAGGTCGAAGAACTTCTTCGAGAAATAGAGCATTCAGCGATACGAAACATCGATAGGGCGGATCTTCGGGAACTCCATGAACTTTTGGTCCAGCCACACATGAGGGTAAGTCTTCGAATAATTTATTCAAGTGCTATCATATGATTCTGGTGCGAAATAAATAATGAATATAACATATAGGTATAAAACCATATTGCTATATAATATTGTGGTTATGAACTGAAGATTAATATTTGAAACTTTATATAATCAAAATTTTATTTTAGCAACATATATGTATATATTAATAATATAGTAAAATAATATAGCATAAGTAATATTATATAAAATTATGTAATATTATATTATATAATTATTACTATATAGTTAGTATATACTATATTGCTAAGTAATATTATTATTCTATAATTAATATAGTTATTATATAAGTTACAAATAACGAAATAAGGATACAAATGAAATTTGAAGGAATGTATTATAAGTATTTAAGTATATATTATGAATTATGGAATAATTAAATTAAATCAAATGAAAGATTTTAGAATAGATATAATTTCAAAAATTAATTTTAAAACTGTAATTATAATTTTAATAACTATAAAAGCAAATCATTTTATTGAGGTAAAATTATTTTTATCTATGGATTAAAGAAAAGTACTTGAAGATTGTGTATAATGTAAATTTCACTGATATATATGTACATTTTTTATCAAATTATGAACTGAACTTTATAAAAAAATATTATTATCAATATTAATATCAAAAAGTTCTTTTTTTTTTTATAGAAATTAAAAAAATAATATTTTAATTCTATATAATTATTATTTACTATTTATTAATTATATTTCGCATTAATTATACAGAAAAAAATTTTGACCATTCCAAATTTTTTTTGGAAACATTGAGGATATATTGGAGGAAGATATATTGTATTTAGTAAAATAAGGATATATTGTATTTAGTAAAATTTTATTCGAATAATGAAAATATTTCTAGATATTGTCATGTTTGCTTTTTATATTAAATTAAAATGTTAAAACATATCAAACTTATTATGAGGTTTAAAAATTTTTTAACACGATTAAAATTATATTATCATGGAATCAATTTGTACTTACAATATATCCTCCCTTCGAAATTTGTCTAACTACGTAATAAAATATCTTTCACATGATTACAATCTTCAAGCATCTTTTTTCTTTTCAAAATTCAAACAAAATACGCTACATAATTTACTATAAAAACAGAATTAATTTATAATACATTCCTTCGAAAATTGTCAAATTACACATTCTTCTCGTGATCTTCAGATACATATTTTCATTTCGAAATTGAAACAAAGCACATTGGCTGCACACTGGCACAAAAAGATCGTATGATTGCGAAAACACGTGGAAAATAGGTCGACGAATTGGTAATCGTTACAATAGCGTTCCCTTTCTTCCCTAGTCTCGCGTTTTTGAAGGTGTCAATGCGAAGGGGTCTCGCGACGTACTCGCAATTACATCGTTCCCTCTTTTCCGCCGTGGCACTCGTCGCTGGTGGTAGTGTATTTGCCGCGGTGTTTGACATTGCCTGCGATACACCGTAAATAGGGCACAGAAATGTAGGTCGATCGTTAAAATTCTCATTTAAAAATCCCGTAGCTGTAGCGTGAGGAACACGTAAAGAGGGGAGAAAGATTGCAGGAAAGAGCAGGACAAATATGGAGAAAGAAGGAAGAAAAGACAAATAGGGCCGGACTAAAAGAACGATAGGATGATGTTACCGTGAAAAGGACGGATTCTGATGCGCGAATGAATTTGCGTGCCCATCTTGAGTGCTGACTTATTAATTTTTTCCATTCAACCTGATTGCTAGACATTCATTGTTCCACGTCTTGTTTTTTTTTTGAAAAATTACGTTGTCTGATTCTGGCTTGATTAGAATTATAAAAACGTATCATTTGCCTTTCATGTTGGCGTTTCAATTTGTTGGAGAAATTTTGCGTTTGAGTAGGCTAATTCATAATAGGAAAAATTAGTTTTATTTTGATGATATTAATTGATTTTAAGATTTAATCTATAATTAGGTAAGAAATTTATTCTCTCTTCAAAAATGTATAAATGAAAAAAAAAAATTAAAATTATATACATCTATATATCGTTTAAAATCAAAATTCTAAATTTTAATACTTTTATAGTGAAAAAAGATTATCAAAATTAATTATTCTCAGATAGAATATTATATAAAATGCAAATTTTAAATTAGCTTAATACAATATAACATGCAAAGTAAACTAAAGATTTTTCTGGCTCGTGTGTATTTTTCTATAATTTTAATTCAAAATTTAAATAACTAAAAATAATATTTTTTATTTTATATAAAATAGTTGTAAAATTTTAACACAGTATCATGCAAAGTGAAAATTTTTTTTAAATTTTATTGTATCTAGAAATAAGACTAAGCGAAGTAGTTTAAAAAATATTCAACATGTTTGGACTCAAGATTTTTGAGAAGTACTTGTACGAGGGAAGTGCATGTTAAAAGATACGAATAATGGACCTTTGCCAGGCTCGTATTAACGCTCTCTGTTAGAGTTTCAAAATGTCCAGAATGAAACTACAGTTCTAGAAATGATAAAGTACAACTAGCGTTCAAACGTTCAAGAGTCACGATACGAGTTTCAATGTGATTTCGCTAACATGGAAATAAACCGAGTTTCATATATCTGTCGTAGTAAAAAAAGGATTCACTTTATGCGAGAGTTTGTTGGTCGTTTTCGTATCATCAAATTTTTTTTTTATTGTACGTTTTACTATTTTAAAGTTTTTCATTTGTGTTGAATATATTTTCACGGAATATATTATTTATTTTTAAAAATCATTTTTTATCTCTATCTTTGAGCATCTTTATTTTGTTTTTTTTATTCAAAATAATTATTTCCCCCCTGTAAAATCAGTTCAGTAGAAATTAAGGGAAATATTGAAATAAATTTTCATAGTGAAAACGAATTATAACAAATTTTAATTATTTTGAATCTAAATTCGTGATTTCATTTAATTTAGAACTAGTTGGTCATAAAAGTATTTATTTATTAATTATATATTCGATGTATCTCATAGAAAATTATATTTCAATAAAAAAATACAATTAGATGCTTTTGATATGTATATGCATGTGTATATATAGTACATGACATTTTAGTTACAAATATTTCAATTTTTATATTATTTTTATTGGCATACGAAAAATAAGCATTGAAAAACAGAGGAGAAAAATATTCATCGGTTGAAAGAATTATCTATGCTAAAATATATTATATTTTTAAAATTTCTTTGATTCTAATACTTGAAATAACAATTTGAAAATTTTTGAAAAGCAAATAAAAGAAAGCATCACATGAAATATATTAATATTATTACTTCTTATTGAAAGAGTAGAAGATATATAGATAAATTATAAATAGATTACATAAAAAATATCTAATTCATGCATACAAAGAATTATCAATATTATATATATATATATATATATAATATATTTTTAATATAAATATATTATAAACAAATATTCTAAACATTATATTTCTAAAACAAAATTTTTTTGCTTTGATACAAAAATAGAGTCCATCCAAAAGTAATATAGTCCATCCAGTTGACAATTTTGAAAAAAGGATATATGAGATAGCGTCTTTCAAAGCGTCATGTGAACTATATATACATATGTATACATATACATAAAGAATCCTCAGAAATATCGTCAGAATAGGTATTTGCACGCGAGATATCTCATTCTTGGATAAAGAGGAGTTAATGTTGCATCATCGAATAGGTTCACCGACTCACTGGCATAGGTCTCGTTTTAGAAGCAATACTTCAAAGAAAATGTTTGTCAACAGCTTTCTAAACTGTTGCATCAGACGTGATCTGAATGTTCAATAGTGTTTACAATCGATCAATTGCATCCAAGATTATTCAGACAGAGAATGGCAGAGAAGTTTGGTAAGAAATCTAAATCCTGGTTTTTTGTTTGCTAGCTGTTCGTTCAGAGAAAACGAATATTGCGGATTCAAAATGTATATTTCAGTAAACAGTGGTGTATGAATATTCGCGTTTTTAATATTAAATCGAGTTCGAGATGGTATGAAGTGACAGGATAACAGAAATAGAACAGGTGGTTAGTTATTCCGATCTTTCGGTTGTCTAGCCATCGAAATAACTACGAATGCGACATGCAGTTTATTATCGTAACGAATAGCTTGTTGGTTAGGTAAATATTTATAGATGTATCGATTAAGTAATTAAGATTGTTAAAATAGTTTTTTAGTGGGTCATATCCATTGTGGTTGAGTTGAACTCTGAAATATTTGTGAATTGATTTTGTTTTTTTTAGTTAATGTTCTTTAAATACATTTAAATAAGTTACATTATTTAAATGTATAATTATATTATAATAAATTATTCGTAGAAATTACAATGAATAGAAATTGTATGTATTCTTGATTACAAAATTATCGAACTATATGAAATATATTTTATGAAAGAATATATTATTTTTTAATTGTTTGTAAGAATATATGATAAAAACAATCTTTGTTTAATTTCAATTATTAGATATAAATAGTTTTTATTTTTAAATATAACAATTATAATGAATATCTTCTTAAAGAAAAAATATATTTATTGAAAAAAAATTAGATATTAAGTATTTTTTGGTTTTTCTGAAAAAGACAAAAATCAATTGGCTTTTTTTTTTTACAAAATTTTTAATTATGTTGTAAATATATTAATATTTATTCGTTCGTTAGTATGCAATATCTTATTTAATCAATTTAAAACAAATATTTCTTTCAATAAACTTTCCCTTTTATTATTCTCGTTTTTATTATCAGTTTAATTTTTAAAATTTTTATTGAAATGAAACGATACAAGTTTTCATCTTTTAAAAAACGTGATATATCGAAGCAATTTGTTGCTTTTCTATTTAGTAGGACAACTGTGATTGACTATTTCGGACTTGTGTACACGTACTATCTATTCAAGTGGTTTATACATAGATAAAGATTCAAAAAGATCGAGGATTGATCAATTAACTCCTGTTATATTTTCCCTTGTACGTTTTGA